GCTTCGAAACCTCGATACAGAACGTCACATCACTACCTATGGTCTAAGGTGACATGTTTTAATCATATCTATATATATGTTGGATAAGGCCAGTGAATTGGCACAGGAGCAGATCCATCTACTGTTTGCAAATCCTCATCAGAAATGGTGTCAGTGGAAGGGTGGCTGTCAAGAAGCCATACTTAATGAAAGGAAACTGAGAACAGACTGGGGTTTGCCAAAACATGAGAACTGGACTAAAAATCTGAGATAACAGGTCTTGGATGCCATGAATTCAAATGTAAAATCTTTTGGTTCATTTTGGTCATCACTATGGATGAGGTCAGTAGAGCAATACAAAAGCAAGCGTCTACATTCATCTGTCAAACACAGTGAGGCTCTGTCATGGTTTTGTGCTGCATTTCAGTGGTGTTGGGAGTCTTGATAAAATTAATAATGCAGAAAAGTACCATTATGTTTTGATCTACCATGTAATACTGGAAAATGTCTTACTGGCATTAGCTATATTTCTCAGCATGACAATGATCCCAAAAAGGGTCCCAGAAGTCCCAGTTCAGTAAAAGCATACCTGCATAGAAAAACACACAGTGGAAGACTATCAAGCATGGATTGGCCTCCCCAGAGCCTGGACCTCAATATTATTGAAGCAGTGTAGGATCATCTTGACATAGATTAGAACAAAAAGCAATCAAGATTCAAAGAAGAGCTTTCAATGTCCTTCAAGAAGCCTGGAGAACTATTCCTGAAGAAGGTTTTATAGCAAAGATCAACCCAAATGAGCTTTAATTTACACCATACCTAAAAAATGACAAAAAAAAAAAAACCTCAGTCATCAGACTTGGAGGTTGTCAAGCCGGTGATTGATGAGAGTGTGTTTCATTATTTTATTTCATATAAGCATGCAGAATGTCAAACCACACTCCAAAATGGACCAAAACCTGCATCAGACATCCTACACAGGTGACCCAGCTGAGGTTGATCAAGCCCTGACTTGTGCCCCAGCAGAAACCACCCACAGGTCAGCCCTTTAATCAAAACCCAGCTTCACTCATGGTTTTAATGGCCATCTTCTTTGCCTCTCCTGTAATAAAAAACCTGATACAAAATAGCCAGCCTTTTTGAGCTGAGCTGACAGAGGGCCCTTTCCGTCTCTTCTCAATGGGCTCTTGGTACTTTGCATGTTTTGTCTCAATTGCTTCTTCCACATCATCTTCCCAGGGCACTGCAAGTTCTGGCATAGTTAGCTGTTTTGTCTCTTCAGAGTAGATGATGATCTTGTGTAAACCTTAGCCCTTTGTTCAGATTGATATGTAACTGTCAGTCTTAGGCCACAGAGAGAAGACTTAGATCCTCAGTTTTGATTTTGGGTAGGGTTTCTTTCCAGCTTTCATAAAGGGATCTTCTTTATGGTGATGGTAAATGCTTTAAATGCCAGACTGGGTGCTCAAATATATTTAATCTGGTTTTCTGGTCAAACTAAAACATAACAAGAAAAAAATCAATTAGATGTAGCATGATTTTTATACATGGGAAATAAACAGTTTAAATAAAGGTACAAAAAAAACAACTTGCTTGCAGTAGTGAAATTTTATTTAAGCAGAATAACCATGAGTTGATTAAAAAAATTCAATTTAAAAATTTTCAGTTTAATCAATTTTTCATTAACTAAAAATGTTAAACACTGTAACCTAAAATCATATATATCTTGATTAAGAGGATTTTACTTTTTCAGTTATTCCAACAAAAAACGTTTTCCTTTGGGCACATTTGGAAACACATCTTTATAATTTTATTAAAAACTACATTAGGAGAAGTGAAGAAGGGGAGACTTCCTAGAAACTCCTAAGAATAGTGTCGTCATATTGGTTCCTGATAAGATTGTCAAGTTTTCACCTCATCACATTAAACAATCTCACACAGTATTAGCCTGACACACACTGACAAAGCGTTCCTGTTTGACTTTCCACTTTTGATATCAATATTTAAAGTTAGGTAAGAAAACAGCGCTTCCTTGTGGTCACTCGGTAGCACTACAGCTTAAACGAACACCTGCTGCAAACTGCTCCCTTTAACCGAGAAGGGTCTGGCTGCAGCCAGGCGCTCTTGTGGGCTTTAACCACCAAGAACAACATCGGAAAGAAACGCATGTTGTGTCAGGTGATCACGTGACAAGATGAGGCAAGGCAGTAATGACCCAACCTCTTTAGGCCAAACAGCTAAAGCAAAGATTGAAGAAATATTTGCTTTTGAGAAACTGGGTACAACTGGGTACAACATGTATATACTGCAGTGCAAATTTGGCTGTCAGAGCAGGCCGTACGCACCAAACTTTATAATGTCAACTGAAGTTTGTCATTACAGGCTGTTCAAAGGTCACACTGACTGTGGCTCTGAGCAGGCAGTTGAGTTGCAGCCTCTGTGTCGGTATCTGCTGCTGGCAGTAGAGACACCTCCCCTGCCCTGTAGGAGCACAGAACAGTGCTGCAATCCAATGAGATTCCGGTGGGCGGGGCTACAGCCTGGTTCTTCATTCATAATTTAATCTGGCAAATATGTTTTTCTCGCTGTGTCAGTCGGAAGAAAGGTCTAACAGGACAGAAGACTATTGTACAGGTAACAGATAAAGATTTTTGTTTTAAATTGAGAATAGACGCGTGACATCTACAGGCGCTGTCACACCTTTGCTACAAGTCTTAAATTTGATCAGGTCAGTCACCTTTTGAATCAGGTGCCTCATGTTGTATCATTTACAAAGTGAAAACTTTTGTTTCTTTATGACCTTCCCAGGAAGTGTTCCTACACAGACGACCACAAACTAACAATATGACAGGTGAGCATTTCAATGCAACAAGCTTCTTTTGAAATAGGGAAGAGAGAATATTCCTACAAAGAAAAAGTGAAACAAACTGTAAAACAAAGCCAACAGGGTGACATTAATTATCCACTTAACTTTCCTTTTGATTTGACTGTCATGCAAATAATAATTATAGTAAATATCATTCAAAGTGACTTGATGTCTTGAGGAAACTGACCTGCATAAATCTATAAAAGTGCTTCATATGCGTGAATGGATATCCAACAGTTTTCCCCTAATAACCTGGGCTGGATTTAAAAATAAATAAAATAAAATAAAAAAAATCATAGCTGCATGAAGGTTATTGAGGTTGGATTTTGCTGTGTCACAGAGGATATACAGTTTATAGAGAGACAGCAGCATTCATGTCAAGACACCTTATTTAGGCAGTATAATACATTTCTGCCTCTATGCCAGACACACCCATTCTGCAGAATGGGTGTGGAGAATAGAGCTGTTCTACATGGCTTCTGGTCTTTCAACAGTCTTTCTCCACCTTTCTCTGCCTGTAACCCAGCTATTGACAACTATCAGGACTCTGAGTGTATGGAAAAATGGCTGCTTGACCCCAGCACTAGCAGCACTTATAGCTCTATGGTTTAACAAAAAAGAATATTGCAGTATTTAAATAAGCTGTAAAGCAAGATTTGCATTATTACACTGCATTATTGTAATTTTTGCACTGGTTATTTACGAATGCGCTTTTTGATAATGTGCACAGAGAACCAAAGACAGAATGAGGCCACCATTGGAAGGTAAACACTATTAGCTGGAAAATCTTACTTTATTCTGGTACCAGACACTGAGAATATTGCCTGCATTTACTGCAAATTGTTTACTCTAAAATCAGCTCCTCGGATGGTGCAGAGGAGTACCAGATGGGCAACAAACGACGAGGTCTTGCACTCATTTTTAACCAGGAAGAGTTCTTCTGGCGCCTGGAACTGTCAGGGAGGAGTGGAACCAAAGTTGATCGTGACAACTTGGAGAAAAGGTACAACCTCCTAGCTATCTGCTGAAGAATGAGGAAACCTGTTTTTGGCACAGCTTCATGCTCAAGAGCATGCCAGCATGTGTTTAGAGTTGTTGGTCATTTCTGTGGTAAAACTGAATATTTTTCTTCTTTACTAGTATCGGCCCAGGGCTGCAATCTTTTACCTCTGTGCCCCAGCGAGTGCCAAAGACAATATGTCATATGCTATATTTTTATTTGTTAATCACCAAGTTCACAGAGAACTTGGTGATTGTTTCTCTCCTGAATAGTGATGACCCTGATCACAATCCCCACTACAGACTGTGATCGTGGCCTTGTAGAGGTTGATTTCACAGTGGTCCAAGTTGTTCCCACTGCATCAACAACTGAAGAGATGGTTGTGGATTTTAGAAAGAATCCTATGACCGTCTCTCCTGTGGTGGTAATAGCTGATGCTTTGGAGTGTCTGCACCAGCAGAAGTGCCGTTGCAGTATAATTTATAGGACTCTGAAAAAGGTCCAATCAATCCTGATCCGAGCAGATCCTTGTCTAAGGAATTTATATTGCTAATAAAGAACAATAAAAATATTTTTGACCCTTGATCTGCTAAACTAATCAACTCATTTTCACTTTCTGTTCAGACTGAAGGATCTAAACTTTGAAGTGAAGTGTCACAATAACCTCAAGCTGGAGGCAGTCCTAGATGAAATCGCAAAAGGTATCCACATAATCATTTGTTTCTCTCAAATGGCTAGCATGCATCGAGATGGACAAAGAAAATCATCACCATAGTTTGAGTTCTTACATAATTCAATTTGTTGCTTTGCTGCAAAAATATCTTTGTCAAATCCAACTTTCACTGCAAGTTTAACAAGTATTTGTTGTCCCACCAGCTGCGGAGGCAGATCACTCAGATGCTGATTGCTTTTTGCTCGCCTTCCTGAGTCACGGAGAGGATAACCACGTTTATTGCCACGATGGAAAAATCAGTATCCAGGAGATCACGTCCATGTTCAAAGGGGACAAGTGCCCGGACCTTGTTGGAAAGCCAAAGATCTTCATAATACAGGTACAAAACACAAAAACCCATACGAGTCCATCAGATTAACCTGATGTAGCCATTTTTTAAAGATTCAACAGGTTTGCAGTCATTCCAACTCATAACGTAGTCATGAGTCTCAGTCTGGATGTTTTGTTGTGTTGCCTTCTTTGTGATGAGAGTTGGGTAAACAAAACTGTCTCATATGTGCCAGAAATGAGTTCCACCACTGCTGTGTCATCTGCAAACTTGACTTTGTGGCTGAGCACTTATAAGAGAGTAGAGTGTGCAGCAGGGGCCTTAAAACACATCCCTGAGGAGAGCCAGTGTTGAAGATGATGGGGAAGGAGGTGTAGGAGGAAGTGAAGTCTGTCAGTCTGTCTTCTGTTTGTCAGAAAGTCCAACAACCAGTTAATTTAATTCAACTGGAAACCAATGTTCATCTCCCATCTCCAGGCATGTCGTGGAAAAGAGTTTGATGTGTCAGTTGCAGTGACCGAAGCTTCTACGATGGAGTCTGAAGAAAAGGTGTTCATGGATGCCAGCACCATACAGACCCTCCCTGCTGGGGCTGATTTCATCATGTGCTATTCTGTGGCTCAGGGTGAGTCTTCTGGCATTTGACTAAACCTTTTTATTTTTTTTTTATTTTTATTAGACACAAAGCAGAGTGTTTTTTTCCCATAAGGTAGAAATGTGATGTTAGTATTATTTTAAAGGCTTCTGACAAATCTTCCCTGCTTTGGTAATGCTCTGAGTGTGTCACCGTCACTACAGTGTCACAAACTATCCAACTCTTGCTACACACTGTTTGTTTATATGTGCTTGTAAGCTCATTTATTAGTAAGCAAAAACTGAACAAATGCTTCAATAGAATTTTATTTCTTAAGTGAAACCATAAGAGTCAGCTTTAATAAATCCTGGTATAAAATATTTAATATTTCATAGTCCTCAGAAAATCTGTCCTCTTTACTTTTACCTCAACATCCATGTTCATTTTTGCCATTTTGCTGTTGTCATTATTCGTTAGGCTACTACTCCTTCCGGGAGAGAGAAAACGGTTCGTGGTATATCCAGGATCTCTGTCAGCTGCTTCAAAAGTATGGTGATAGCCTTGAATTCACAGAGTTACTCACGCGGGTCAACAGAAAAGTGTCACTGAGGAATATTCCAACACCATGTCAACCAAGATTTATCGGGAAGAAGCAAATGCCTTGTTTCGCTTCAATGCTCACCAAGAAACTTTACTTCCGACCAAAAAAGTAACAATGACACACCTCAGTCTCAAAATGATCAGGTTTATATTTGTTTTTCAACTATGTTGTTCTGTGTCCCTATTATTTTTAAGCTTTAGTGCTTGAATTGCTTTAAAATTGCATGCTGATTATGTAAAACTACTGTACTGAAATGACTCTAGAAGCAACAGAATGATGCTTTATTGCACAGAAATGCATTCATTTTGCCTTATTTTATATCAAGTTCAGAACAGTTTACAGTGGAACCTTCCACCGAAAAGTCAGGGAGTCTTGGCGGTTGAGTCAGTTTTGACTTTGTCTTTGAGCCAATTATTTTTCAGGCGGGAGGCAGGTGACGAGACAGCTTAGCAATCAGGAAACAAAATCAGGATTTTTGTACACATTAGTTTCATCCTTACATATCTCACTGTAAGCCTCAGGGATCCAATAATATTAACAAACTGTCTAAACATTACATAATCACAGTGTTTCCTGAAGCTTACTACTTAAAAAAAGGGAATTTCTGTTCTGTAATGTGTATTTGCATTTACACACTGACAGTGTATTTTTTTTTTTTGCATTACTTTAATGATTTTATGAATTTTACTTACTGCTTTGCCCTCAATAAAATTTCTAACTTTATTAGTTTTCTTGCATTAAGTGTGTGTGTGTGTGTGTGTGTGTGTGTGTGGATTCTCTTATTTGTCCTGAAATGGTTTAGAAGTAGGTTAAATCAAAATAAAACTGATTTACAGCAAAGAAGTAAGTTTTATTACTTTTCACAGCACCTTGCAAGATAAAATCACAAGGTGCTCCACATCAAATACAAACAACAAAACAGGAAGGAGACATTACTACAAAATACATCAAAATGCCACCAAAGTGTCAGTTCAAAATATGAGTGTCTTCCACGTCGAAACCACTGAGGTGACTTGGGAAACAGTCCGTGCTTGTCATACTCAGTATGAGATAAATGCCAGTAGCCAGTATGTTATGTGTTTTACTTCCTTCTTTTCCCAGTGTTTGCACTGAGTAAGAAGTCAACAGGCTCGTTCTGTCTGTCATTAGATTGAGATTATAATAATCGGACAATCTAACTTGTGATTTAATCTTTAGCAAAGTCACAAATCTATACAACTTGAATCATCCACGAAGACACTTTTCATGTCTTTATTGTGATTTAAACACTGAGTAAGAATTCATGATCGATAGTAAAAAGTGTCGAAGTGTCCTCTTGACTTTTCCGAAGGTTAGTTTTTCAGGGGAGACTAACAACCTGCCATCCTGAATGCTGCTGTGAAACAGAACTAAATGATTACAGCAAAATGCTATGTTTACCAACAGTTACACAATGGAAAAGAAGAAAAAAACAACCTCAGGATTTTGCATACCTGACTCAAATTTTTTTTCCATTAACAGGAAGTAATGAAAAAGTAACACTGATGCTATGCAGGATCATGTTCCACTTTTTTTTTTTTAAGTTTGCTTGTAGGCTTCTTTGCTTAGAAAGAAATGGACAGTCTCTTATTTTAATGGCAGTTTCAGTTCAATGGGGAGAGACAGAATATCAACCAAATGTCATTTGCCTATCGTTGAGTGATGTAAATATTCTGCTTCCCATAGATGGGTTGTGTACTGTCACACGACTGCCAGTCAACAAAACACAGCAGAGCATGCAGGAGGGGGCGGAGCCAAGCGTGCCTGCGTGAGAGGTGGGGTGTTTGCACAGACCTGTTTTCAAATGAACGGGAGCAATAAACTGAATTTAGAGGAGAGAATCAAAGTAACAGTCTTTGTCCTAGTATCAATCTCATACCAACCAGTGTTGGTATTGATGCTATTAATATTTACATTGGTCCACCCACAGTGTTTCAGATTGTCTAGGCGATCCTTGTTGGGATGCAAGCACGTCTCCTCTCTGAGATGTTTACAATCCATGACATGAACATGCATAACAAAATAAACTTGATCAAACTAATATTTAAAACCATAATTTTTTCTGATCAATAAGCAGAAGTTTGATTTCTCCCATGATGAAGAACAGCAGTTAGGCTTTGCTGGTAGAGGATGATCGCAGGCACTGAGAGAGCAGTTTATTAAATCAACATAATCATTCTTATGTGATTCGTGTTAAATTTAATCTGTGTCATTACACTTTAACGGTGTTTTCAACCTGATCTAGTTATTCAGGTCTAAGGTTGCTGATGCACTGATAAAAGGTGATCTTTAACTGTAGCAAAAAAGTCTTTCTTATCTACATTACTTCCTTCCCCTCAGCATCATAAATAAATAAATAGCCTACATCACCCACCTCCTTGTCTGGTTTACACTCCTAATAATTTCTTGAAAGCTCCTTATAGGACACACAAAAGCTGGTCTAGAGTTCAGCTATATTTGTTATCAACGATATCTTGTGCTTTCTGTATGTCAGCTGGTTGATCTACATATCTTTGGACAGCAATCACCATTCTTCTCTCGAGCAGCTGAAACTGTGAACACTTCTCCATTATTGTAGTTCACAGTCAGTAGCCTATGTTGATCAAACATAGGAAGAAAATAAATAAAAAATATTTCAGTAGTAGGAAATTGTAAGCACTGAGCTACTAAAACTGCTTAACTGATTTTGCTCAGTATAAACTTATACTTTCACAATCATCTCTGTAGCAAAATTATCACCAAACACAGACATCTGTAGTAAAGTGATACCACTGCAACCTTTCATCATCTGCATACATGAATGAATGACCGTGGGTGGAGATTTCTGACAACTCAGATCCTTGACGGAAGGCAATACTTCAGATTCAACAAGACAGCTGGAGGCAGGGCTACAAAATGCCTCTTTAGGATGATTTCACCAGATAAATGTGTTTTTCTCTCTGCGTCAGTCGAAGGCAAGGTGACCTGCGGCCATGTCTAACAGGGACGAAGACGAATGTGGAGGTAACAAATTACAATTTTTGTCTTTATTTTAAAAAAAGACACCTGACCTGTTTAAGTGCTGTCACACCTTTAATATAATTTTTTTTAATTTCCTTAAGCCAATCACAATGTTACTACAACAGGTACCAGGTTCTCTGTGACCTTCCCATTAAGTTTTGCTACAGACAGTAGAAACTGAGAATAAGGCAGGTGAGTATTTCAGACTGTGATTTATATAAACCGAAAACTTATTTTGAAATATGGAAGAGAGAATACTTGTTCATACCAAAGCACAAGTGAAACAAAGTGCAAAGTTACAAAATTTAAAAAAGTAATATTTTATTATGGCAAAATCAACATTGAATTCAAATTAAATAGGGTGACATTGATCTAATTACCTGTGCTGGATTTTTAAGGTGGATCTCAACAAATGTTGATGTCCACAGTATTCTGTCCACCATCCTGTCATTTTGTACTAAAATATGTATGAGTGTGGAGTAAATATGAAACACACAGTTCAAAGTAGAGCCTATGACCATGATAATGTGCTGTCAGGGGCTGGGCCTGTGACCCAACATGTTGAGTTCATTTTGTATTTTTGATTTCTTATATCATACTGAAAATATGTTAAGTCTTGTGTTGGTATTATCATTTAGGATTTAGTTGAATGTTACTCTAGTTTAAGTTTTCATGTCCCCTTGTGTGAGTCTGTTCTTGTCCTCTGTGTCAGTATGACTTGTATTTCGTGTCTGTGTTTCATGTTGTCAAGCCTGTGTTATCATGTCTCCGTCTCTCCGTGTTTCCTGATTATTTTTTTTTATTCTTGTGTTTCTTTGTTCAGTGTGTTTAGTTTTACTCTTTCCCTGTGATGTTGTTATGTTCATTTGTGTCAGCTGTTTCCCCAGTTGTGTATTTAGTCTCTGTGTTTCATTCAGTCAATGTCATCTGTGTTCCTTCCTTTCACTTCACATCAGGTTAGACGTTTTTCATGTGTTTGCTCAGGTCATGTTCACGTTCTTGGTTTTTCATCATAGTTATTTGCATGTTCCTGCTCAGGATCATGTTCCTGTCAGTAGTTATCATAGTTTAATGATAGTAATCACAGTTAAGTTTGCCCAGTTTAGATTTTAGTTTAGTTTTTGCCCCTGTTCGCTTTTTGCCTTATTCTGTGTATTTATGTCATCAGCCACAATAAAAGGCTCGCTTTTTGTTTACAGCTCAGTTCCATCTCCTTCGGTGTCTGCATTTGGGTTCGTTTCCTTAAACACACCGGCTGCTCAGCCATGGCAGGAACTTTAGAAACAGAAACAAAAACTAAACCAAATGAAATTCCTTCTGTCAAATACACCCACACCACCCTTAGTCTACCCTATACAGTATATTATCTGTAGAGTAAAGCTGTCCCTCTCTGTCTCTATTCTTTTAGCAGCCTTTGCCATCTTTCACCATGCATCACCCAGCTGTTAACAGCTGTCAGGACTCTGAATGGATGGAACAATAACTGCATGACCATATTTGACGACAGAAGTAGAATAATTTTTGTGCATTTTTGGCCATTTTTTTTGTTAATACTGTAATGAGAACTGTCACACCAAGCTCAATTATTTTAATGTGTGTGTGTGTGTTTGTGTGAAGGTGGTTGGTGATACACAAATATGTCCATACCGTCCTATGTTCTTTTCAATACAATGGTTATCATTGGTAATCATAATCATCAATATTTAGATAAGTTGTAAAGCAGGACTTGGCTCTATATTATTATTACTATGTAATTGTTGCGCTGGTTATTTATGAATATGAATTTGTTTTTCAATAGTATGCAAAGAGAAACAAACAGAGAACAACTCCTTTATCAGAAGGTAAATTCTTACTTCCAACTTTTTTGGCTATTAGCTGGAAATGATCGCTTTAATCTGGTACCAAGCACTCAGACACACTGCATTCATTACTCTTTTTTTTTTTTTTTTAAATCAGCTCCTTGGATCCTGCAGAGGAGTACAAAATGTGTAACAAACGATCAGGTCTTGCTCTCATTTTCAATCAGGAGAAGTTCTTCGGGCGCCTGGGCTTGAATGACAGAGTTGATCGTTACAACTTGAAGGAAAGGTACAATTTCCAGCTATCTGCTGAAGAAAGGGAAACACTGTATTTGACGCAGCTTTGTGCTAAAGAACATGCCAGCACTTGTTTAGCAGCTGTAGCTCCTTTCTGTGGTAAAACTGTGTGAGAATTTCCACAGATTTTTCCTGATAATGAAATGTTATTTTCTCTCCTCAAGCCTCTTGGTGCTGATTTCACCTTTGTGCTACAGTTAGTGCCAAAACCAATATTTGATGTGCTATATTTTCACAAATTCCCACTGTAGAGAATAATGTTGGTCCTGTAGTGAAGAGGTGATTCTAAATAGACTGATGGATGATCTGTTAAACTAATCAACTCATTTTCACTTTCTGTTCAGACTGAAGGATCTAAACTTTGAAGTGAGGTGTTATGATAACTACAAGCAGGTGGATGTCCTAGATGAAATCGCTAAAGGTACCCACACAATCACTTGTAACTCTCAAATGGAATGCATCCAGGATGTACATGAAGTTCTCCCATAACTCTTTGCTCTGCTGCAAAGATATATGTGTCAAATCCAACAATTCGCCGCAAGTTTAACAAGTACTTGTTGTCCCACCAGCTGCGGAGGCAGATCACTCAGATGCTGATTGCTTTTTGCTCGCCTTCTTGAGTCACAGAGAGGATAACCATGTTTATTGCTACGATGGAAAAATCAGTATCCAGGACATGATGTCCATGTTCAAAGGAGACAACTGCGGGGACATGTAGGAAAGCCAAAGATCTTTTTAATACAGGTGCAAAATACACAACCCAGTCAAGTCCATCAGATTATGTAAACCTGCTGTTATTGTCATCCCAAAAAATGATGATGGATGAGAATCACTAAGTAATGAGGTACTGGTGAAACAGCACTGCAAAAACAAGCAAAACTCAGTAACACAATGAAAAAAATACAATTTAAAGAGCAGTGAGTGTAAGAATGCAAGAAAGTGAAATGTGAGTACAAATATGAACATTAATGAACATAAGATAGAAACCATAATGTGTAATGTGGTGTGTGGGTACACACATGAAAAGTCTCTGATGTGTGGCAGAATTTATACATCTGAACTGATCTTGATGTCTTCAGTTGATAAGAGAGAGGCTGCTGCTGAGTTTCTGCACACACTCGTAGAAACTTCCCATCAGCAGCAGAGCAGGTTCCACGACTCACAGGTGTGAGGATACTCTCCACTGAACTGGACTGTGGAGAGCATCAGTAGTTACAAGTGGGGCTTCTTTATTAGCCTGCTGAAGTTGGTGTTCATGTGAGGCCGTTGTTGATGTTTATACCCAGGTACTTGAAGCTGGAGATCACCAAGGGGCAAGAGAGCTCTCAGCAGCTTTTTTTAAAAGTTCATGAATGCCACTTTCATTTTCTTAACATTAATGAAGAGGCACTAATCCCCCAGATGTTCTTCCTGCAACCTGTACTTTGTCTCATAGTTGCTGGAAATTGGTTCCACCAAAAACTTGACAACGTGGGTGCTTGGGAATGTGGCTGAGCAGTTACAAGGGAGTAGAGAGTACAGCAGGAGGCTCAAAACACATCCCCGAGGGGAGCCCGTGTTGAGGATAATGGGGGAGGATGTAACAGAGGAAGTGAGGTCGTCAGTCTGTCTTATGTTTATTATCAAGTCCAGCACCCAGTTAATGCCAATGTCCATCTTTAATCTCCAGGCATGTCGTGGAAAACTGTTTGATGAAGGTGTTACAGTGACCCCTGCTGATGCGGTGTTTGCAGATGCCAGTGCCATACGCACCCTCCCTGCCGGGGCTGATTTTATAATATGCTCTTCTGTAGCTGAAGGTGAGTCTTCTGGGATTAGACTGAACCTTCAGCTTAGAGGAGAAGTAAAAAAAATTGCTGGACAGATTTTTTTAACCATATGAGTGACCCTTTATGAATCCTGTGTAAAGTATTTGATATTTCATAACCACACTAGACCACCTGCCATGTTTTGCTGTTTTTGTCATTTGATAGGTTACTACTCCTTCCGGGAGACTAAGAAAGGCTCCTGGTACATTCAGGCTCTGTGTGAGATGCTCCGAAAATATGACAACTCCCTTGAATTCACAGAATTACTCACACTAGTCAACAGAAAAGTGTCGATGAGGAACGTTCCAAAATCCTGTGACACACAGCTTGTTGGGAAAAAGCAAATGCCTTGTTTTGCTTCAATGCTCACTAAGAAACTTTACTTCTGACCAAAAAAGTAACACTGTCTCACCTCAGTCTTTAAATCAGCTGATTTATATTTTTTAACTAAAACCAACATCTCACCACAGAAAACAAAAGATCTTTTATAACGCTAATTAGAATCCTCAATATTTCTAGTGACAGAGTTCTTATAAAATCATGGGAACATCCTCTAGACTATGAACTATCTATGTATTATAGAGGTACATCTGTGCTATTTTACTTAATGGTTACAACTATAGCTGTCTCCTGAGTAACTAAGCAGACACTTAAAGTACTGATTTTATACAGTTGTATATAATTCAGGTTTGGGCTGCTTTTTACCCCACTTGATTGCTTTGCTGTTAGTTACACAGTTTGGTGATATCAGCTGTTGAAATGTTTCGCTACTTGAATTTAACAGAACTAAATGAAATGTAAAACCCAGTAGCAAAGTCTTTTTCCAGAAATGATGTTCTAAATACTGAAACGGTTTAATTTTGGAACTGTTTTCTCTTTAACTGTTTGTAGAAGCAAGAATGTATAGACATGTGGCAGGATGGTGGGATGTTCAAGTTAAAGGTGTCCCAGCCAGCTGAGCTGTAGTGAAACTAACCGCATCTTTGTCTTGGTTGTCCAATTTAATTCCATAGAATTTAAATAGTTTTAAAATGTAATTCTTCATATTACTATTTAGGCATCACAAACTGGCATTTAGTTCCATTATGTCAAAGAGGAGGCACACATTTCTACAGATGGTGTCTGAGAAACTGATCAACTAGCATCAAAACAATGGCGATAAATGCCACAAGAGGAAAATGACATTCATTTGATTTGGGGGTGAACTGTTCCTTTAACTTTCTTAATCAAGCTGTTTGTTTTGTATGAAGGAAACAAGTTTGTCAAAATAGGCAATATTAAAACTTCTGTCATTTTTTAAATACTGTAAAGCTGTTGTTTTTGTCTATACGTACTTGAGTTACATTAAAGCAGAATACAGAATGATTATGGACCACAGTCTTTGCTGGCTACTTTGTAAAATTACTCAAATTACTCTAGCAGCACAGAATGATGCCTTACTGCACAGAAATGCATTCACGTGGCCTTATTTTAAATCAGGTTCAAAACACATAGTCAGCAGTCTTGCACAGAAAAGTTTTCACCGGAAAGTCAGGGAGTCTGGTTTGCTTGGTGTCAACAGCCAGTTGTTTCCCAACTTATCATGAGAGGCAGATGACGTGATAGCTTAGCAATCAGAAAATTGGATTCTGTACTCATCAGTTTCATTCTTACTTTTCTCACTCTAAGCCTCAGGGTGCCAGTAACACTTACAACCTGTCCAAGCACTTCCTAATCAGAGTGTTTCCTCAAGCTTACTACTTGAGGAATGGAATTAATGACCTGTCAGCAGTTTATGGTACATGTACTCATGTGTATTTGCACCTCAGTGATCACACTAGTGTGAAAAGTAAGAGGCTGTGTTTTTTTAAAGTTCTACTCTAGTCAAAAACACTTGTAGTCATGACCCGTATGAAGAAAAAGGAAATACACCAAATTACACACAGACTTTGGTTATACTTTGTGAACCAATGTAGTTATGGCTTTGCCATCGTTAATTTTGTTTTAAATAAAAATCTCCATTGTTTTTGTGACAGAAAGTGTGTGCGCATCCTTTATTTGTCCAGAATCGGTTTGAAAACAAATTTATTCAAAATACAACCAATTCAAACAGACTTGGGGAAACATTCATTTCATGCCATTAGTAATGCCTGTACTTGTCATAGTGTAGTAATTTGCCCATTGTTCCTCTTCCTTTTTTCCCCAGTGTTCGAGCTGAGTTTATATTTTTTTAAATTAATGTTTTAATTAATTGTAATTAGTAATATTAAAGGTGTTACTGAAACTTACATCAAAGTAAATGATGCAATCTTCATATTATTACTGTACGAATAAAGATATAGAACGTTGCTGTAGTCTAAAGATAATATCGGAATGTGTGTTTGTGTATTGACGTGAAAGTGATTATGTGTTGTTATGCATACCGTTTCCAACAGAGGGAAACAGAGCTTCATTTGAAATATTTCCAATATAATTCCCCCATATCTCCTAAAACTGCCAAACAGGACATTATTACAAAACTGTGTAAAATAAGGCGGTCAGTATCCAGTTCCTTATACCATGAGGAAAACGGAACATATGATGAGTTGGCAGTGTTAGCACATCCTCCCTGCCCTTCCACAGAATGTAACTGAATGCGATGGTAAAGATGGCACTAATGTGACTTGCAGAAGCATCTTTTTAATTTGTTACCTGTCATTCGTTTATAAATATGTGGACCTTTAAATGTCTTAAGAACAATGAAGTGTAGGCTTTATGTTTTTAGTCATGTATGAGATGAGGCTCGTAACATAAATCTGGATTAGGCTTTTAGCCCACTTAATCTTTTACTTTCTTCTCATGCTCTTGTAGTTGTTCGTGATTTGGTAGTTGCCTGAACTTGTTCTATTACAATGTTGCAAACACGGAAATACTAGTCTTTAAATCTTTGAATGACAGATGCGACAGCCAATAGGTGAAAATCTGAGCCAATGAGATTACGGTGGGCGGAACCACACATACACTCTTTTTAGGGTGGGTTTTACGACGGTGACGTTTTCTTCTCACGGCGTTAGTCCGAAAAAAAGACGAACCGTGAACATGTCTGACAAGCAAAAAGACGACTGCGGAGGTAATAAATTTGCATTTTTAAAAAATATTAGAAACAGACAGGCGACCTGTTAATTTGAAAGCCGAACAATAAGTGCAACGCTACTAAGTTTCGATCTACGCTGAGCTCAATGTATTTTAAACTGTTTTGTATGCTCTGTTATAAATGTTGTCACACATTTACTATAAGCGTTTCTTTAAGTCAGTCACCACGTTAGTACAACGTGTGTCAGGTTTTTTTTTTTAATGTAATAGCAATGAAGTCGGGACTTCACTGCTCCTCCTTCTCTGACTTTCCTAGGAAGTGTTGCCACAGACAGCAAACCAACAGGTGAAAGCAAGCTAGGTGAGTATTTCCTACCGTGAAGTATATAAAAATTCTAAAATCTTTTTTTAAAACATGAACGACAAAGTACTTGCTCATACCAAAAGCAAAAAGCGAAACACTAAAAGCTGTAAAGTTGTACAAACAATGTAATAAAAGTAATGTTTTGTTGCTGGTGAAACAAACAGGGCGTGTAAAACAGCGTGTGATTAATCATCAGCTCAAAGATTTTTACTATCGCTTTCATACTGTACCCCTCAGTCCAGGTCAGGAAGCTGCTTTATGGCTGCTTTATACCTAACATTTTTTCTCCTAATTATCAGTGTTGGACTTCCAGGTGCACTTCCAGAGTTTTTGTTGCTTGCTTGTTTTGTATTCAGCTGTGAGTTTATTTATATATGTGAGTAACTAATAACAAAAGCAAAACATCTAAAGTGATAGTAAAGATTGCCTCAGAGCCAGGCTATGGAAATAAAAATGAGCAAATTGCCCTCATGGATTCACTTTAACAAAGGTTTATTTACACAGAACCAACAACAGTCACCTCAAATAACCTTTTACCTTCAAATACACCCATTCTACCTCATTTGCACAAATACTCTGTCCTATGTATCTGTAGGGTGGAGAATAGAGCTGTTCCTCTTGGCTTTGTTCTTTTAGCAGCCTTTGCTATCTTTCTCCACCCGTCACTCAGCCATTGACAGCTGTCAGGACTTTGAGCGGATGGAACAATGGCTGCTTGACCCCCACACTAGCAGCACTTGTAGCTGTACTCTTAAACAAAAACAAAAGTCTGAAAAGCTAAATCCTGCTATGGATAAGTCCTCTGCTGTGTTTTCTTTTTCCTTTTCCCGCATGGTTGGAGGATGAGGATGAGGGTGGCTTCTCCTTGTGCGTGTTTCTGCTGGAGGTTTCTTTCTGTTACAAGGGAGTTCTTCCTTCCCACCACTCAAAAGTGCTTCCTCATAAAAGATCATTTAATTGTTGACGCTTTCTCCTGAATACCGTAGGGTCCTCACAGTATGAAACACATTAAGGCAACTGTTGTTGTTATTTAGCGCTGTATAAATAAATATATAAATGTATAAATATATTTATAAGTATTTATAATATTTATAAGTATTTATAATATTTATAAGTATTTATAAATATAAATTGACTTGAATTGAATTAATTTTCACTACACAAAAGGTTTCTCAATTACAATATTAAGAAACCTAATTTCCTGTATTGACAGGATATTAGATATATGTTAATGGTCAAATTTATCTTAATTATTTTAAGACGTTTGCGTGTGGAGTTAGTGAGGACAGCCTGAAGAAAAGGAACAATTACACAACTATGATATTGTCAAGTGCATTATTGATGCAATACTGAGATTTTAAAATATCACGGTTGTCGTCTGTGCTCGGTTTATTCTAACACTCTTACTAGCACATTAAGCAGGTAGTTACTGGCACAGTACGATCTAGGATACTGTCATACTTGTGTTACTACTTTCTTTCCAATATCATGTTTATCATTAACACTGGCATGTTGCAAGCAAGACTTGCCACAGCATTATTATTTTGTAGTTATTGCACTGGTTATTTATGCATGTGCTTTTCAATAGTATGCACGGAAAACCAAACAGAGACCGACTCCTTCATCAGAAGGTAAATTCTTACTTCCACGTTTTGTGGCTGTTACTTGAAATTCTCACTTAGGTTATTGCTCTGTATTCATGTGCCCAATTTTCACTCGATATTCAGCTACCTGGATCCTGCAGAGGAGTACAAGATGGGCAACAAACGACGAGGTCTTGCACTCATCTTTAATCAGGAGTGCTTCTTCTGGCGCCTGGGCTTGCATGACAGAAATGGAACCAATGCTGATCGTTACAATTTGGAGAAAAGGTACAACTTCCATCTACCTGCTTAAGAAAAGGAAATTGCATTAGGCTGCGCTTTCATGGCAGGTTTAGATCTGTTCTGTGGTAATATCGTGTAAGAATTTCAAATGTTTTTCCTGGTTATTAAATGTTATTCTTTTCTCTGTTGGATTGCCCTGAGGCTGAGTTCTTTCACTGCAGTGCACCAGCGAGTGCCAAGGACAATATGTGCGCTATATTTTTAAGTTCACAGAGAACTCTGTGATTGTTTCTCTCCTGAGTAGTGATGACCCTGATCACAATCCCCACTACAGAGTGTGATCGTGGCCCTATAGAGGTTGATTTCACAGTGGTCCAAGTTGTTCCCACTGCATCAACAACTGAAGAGATGGTTGTGGATTTTAGAAAGAATCCTATGACCGTCTCTCCTGTGGTGGTAATAGCTGATGCTTTGGAGTGTCTGCAGAAGCAGAAATATTGAGGCATTGAAATTTATAGGACTCTGAAAAAGGTCCAGTCAATCCTGATCCAAACAAACCCTTGTCTAAAGAATTTATATTGCTCATAAAGAGCAATAAAATTATTTTTGGTCCTTGATCTGTTAAAATAATCGACTCATTTTCACTTTCTGTGCAGATTGAAGGATCTAAACTTTGAAGTAAGGTGTTATGATAACTACAAGCAGGAGGCAGTCCTAGATGAAATCGCCAAAGGTACCCACATAATCACTTGTAACTCTTAAATAACTAGCATGCATCCAAGATGGACATAAAAATCATCAAGAAAATCATCACCGTAGTTTGATTTCTCCCATAACTCTTTGCTCTCCTGCAAACATATCTGTCTCAAATCTAACATACAGCTGCAAGTTTAATAACAAGTACTTTTTGTCCCACTAGCTGCGGAGGAAGATCACTCAGATGCGGATTGCTTTTTTCTCGCCTTCCTGAGCCATGGAGAGGATAACCATGTTTATTGCTACGATGGAAAAATCAGTATCCAGGAGATCACGTCCATGTTCAAGGGAGACAAGTGCCAGGACCTTGTTGGAAAGCCAAAGATCTTCGTAATACAGGTACACACTAGCCAAAATCAGTCAAGTCTATTAGAGCAGCGGTCCCC